GCTCCAGCTAGAGCTCAGCACTGATCCTGGCGCTTCTGCTGAGCCCAGAAGAAGCGCCGATCAGCTGGAATGTTGCAGCATCTCCAGTGTGTTGTGATTTACATTCAGATGCTTGGCAACTGATTCATATTTATGACGGTCACAATGTCCCAGGGTCATGTGAAGTGACCAAAACATGCTGCAACCACCCAGCAGACGGGGGGGGGGGAATAAAAACCAAACACCCCCCATCCCACCCCCGCTGCCAATCCTCAACAGAAATGCTCACAACAATGAAAACCTCGGACAGAAGGAAGAGCGCCACCGGGCAGGCAGGCAGGTGTCTTGCTCGGCTGTGGCTTGGGGGGCACTTTTTTAGTGCCACTGTAACTTCAAACAGTCACTAAGCGAACTGTTGTAAGTCGAGGACTACCTGTACTTTATCACCCCCCCCTTTTTTTTTGGTCATCAAGTTTTTGACACCTTGCTAGGCGACTGGTGGTACTTGGATGTTGCCATATCCTAAAAGTGGTACAATGGGTGAAAAGGTTGAAAAGCCCTGTTTTAGAAGCATTTAGTTTTAAATTAAAGTTTGTTTTAATTTATAAAGTATTTGTTAAAACAGGTAAAACCTGAATACTGCTAAGTAAAAATTTTTAGGAAGGATTCGTCTCCTCCATCTTGGATGTAAAAAAAAAAGAAGAAGAATTATTCTGAACAGCAGAATGGCTTAAGTAACCGTTCTACTTTTGTGGGTTTTCAAAGGGATGTAAATGTAAAATTATCTCCTAGCTTGGATAAACTCTCAAATCTTCAGATTGTTAGAGGTGTCCTAGTCTGTCAAGAGATCTTGCTGAAAGAACGACTGCATTAAAGTCATTCACATCCAAGTAATTTTAATATCACTAAAGAACATCCCTCATTTAAAAAAAGCCTCACATAATTAATGGAATGAATTACCAAGGGAAGTTATGTCAGTTGTACCACACTGTTTGCTTCTGGTTTACAATCTTGAGAGAAAAAATATAATTAACTACTGCACGGACACAGTGGGGTTCTCCTACATTCAATTTCATTCTTGTTAACTCAGAGGAACAATGAAAATCCGTAATTAGCACAGAAGCAGCGGGAACACAGTGGCTTTGGCTGGGATTTGGCCTGTAATATTTTCTGCATATAATGCAATATATTTTTTTTACAACCAGGAGAGGGCACTCTTTAAATAAAAACAGGAGAAAATCAGAAAATATGTTTCTGTTGTACGGATATGGTACGTCCTTTCTTCATGTCCCAATATTGAAAATGGAAACAACAATATGTCATTTTAAAAGCCAAAATCTAAATATAATCTGTATATACCGGATTTTATTTAAGAGCAATAATTAGAACCAATACAAACTAGATTAGAACAGAGGAAACAAAAAAAGAGAAATGACAGGAAAAGCTGAAAGTGCAATAAGAAGAGAAAGTAGAAAAAAGAGAGACATAAAGATTTATAAGTTACAAAGAAGTAGCTTCCGATATTCTTCACAGCACACAATTATACTTTAACATCTCTCTAAAGTAAGATTGCGACTCTCTTCTTTCTACAATCTATCCTGTCTAATAATCGAAACCATAAACTACAAGTTCATTTTTTTTCATTTTTACGCAAAAAGCCCATAAGAGGTTTTCAGTTACCAATAAATATAGCTGTTGACCAATCTCTAATCAAAGAAATCAGTTTGTCTGTATATACAAGACTTGGGAAGAGTGTTTTCCCAAAAGCCAAACCTTTTCATAATAAGAATAGGCTACTGGGATCCTCTGTACTGCTAAGCTCCTATGGAAAATTATTATGGAGGCAGTCCTCACTTAACAACCCAAAGTTGAACTGTTGCTAATGAAGTAGTCACCAAGTGGAGAATTGCATAACCACAAATGTCTATGGAGATTCTCAGTCATCCAGGTCATGGTTGTCCCAAAGGCGCTTTGTCACGAGGCAACTGGACTTTCTTTTTTCTCTTCGAAGACGTTTCGCTTTTCATCCAAGAAGCTTCTTCAGCTCTGATTGGATGGTGGGGAATGGAAGGATTCTCTTAACGGGGGGGGGGGGGGGAGAGGGATACGACATCATCTATCTCCAATCTACAACACAGTCCTTTCAACAGTTCCAAGAAGGCCCCACACCCATTTGTACTATTCAGGTGACCCTGACGACACAGATAAGCCTCCAGGTGGCATCCACGACTCTCTAAAAGAATATAAATCCTTCCATTCCCCACCATCCAGTCAGATCTGAAGAAGCTTCTTGGACAAGAAGCGAAATGTCTTCAAAAAGAAAAAAGGAAATCCTGTTGCCTCGTGAAAAATGTCCTTTTCTTCTGGAGAAGATACCCGACTATTTGGTTCCACACCTTCTGCTTTTGTTTGTCTCCTAACCACTCTCCCACCCTTTGGAATGCTTGAATGCCCACTTACTGTCTCCTGCACATCGAGAGCAATGTGACGACACCAGCAGATGGGCTGGGAAACTGTAGGGGGTGCTTACAGTACTTTCTTGAAATCTCTTCTTCTCTATGCTCTCTGCTCTCTGGGAAGGGAGATGGGTAGGAGAGAAAAAATGATATCTGTCGATAATCTCTCCTCTGCCTAGTCCAGGGGTAGGCAACCTTGGCTCTTTTATGACTCGTGGACTTCAACTCCCAGAATTCCTGAGCCGGCTGGCTCAGGAATTCTGGGAGTTGAAGTCCACGAGTCATAAAAGAGCCAAGGTTGCCTACGCCTGGACTAGTCCTTTCCCGCTTTCAGTGCTGTTGCATTGCTTTCGATGAGTAGAAGAGTCAGCCGCTTAGTCTATTGAAATCCCTGTCCAGTCACTCCACTCTGCTACAGCGTTGACATTTTTTTTAGTTCACAGCACAGAATGTCTGACTATGTTACACCTATTTCCAGGTCTCATGCCAATACAACACCTATTTATTTATTTATATCCTGCCTTTATTATTTTTTATAAATAACTCAAGGCGGCAAACACACCTATTGCCCCTTTCTTCTTCCTTTCCCCCCTCCCCACAATAACCACCCCGTGACATGAGTTGGGCTGAGAGTGTCAGCTGAATTTTCTGTTCTCCATTCCTTCTTGGGACATTTGGGGAGGAACTCTGAAGCTTCTTGGAAGAGTTTGAAAGAGAACAAGCTATTAAACAAAAATTGTGGTTTACACAAGCTGTAGTTAATTAATAAGCCCATCTATTCGATGATATTGCACCATTTGCGAGCTATACAAGTATTAACGTAATTAACTTTTTATTATATGCAATCCAAACTGGGAACTGCAGCTTTACTGCAAGCCAAACTTTTCAGCCCAACCCACTTCACACAGTAGCTGTTGTGGGGAAAATAGGAGGAGGAAGGAGCATGAGGTATTTTTGCTGCCTTGAGTTATTTATATAAATAATAAAGGCAGGAAACAAACGAACAAACAAACAAATCTGTGTTCCTTTTCATTCAAAACTGACAGAGAGATCAGCCTGAGGCCACGACAGCAGCAGATTTGACCAGTTACATATAGAGAATGCCAGATTGGAGATGGAAGGTTAAATATTGTACTGGCATCTGGCTTCAGTGATGTCTATTTTTTTCTCTCTAATAATTGAGTCAGTACACATTAGCTTTCATTTACAATTCCACACCAAGATTCTAAAAATTAACACCATTAGCTTGGGACTAGGATCTGTTTTAATAATCAATTAGCGATGAACTTTAAACTGGTGTGTACACATACACGTTTGTGTCTTAGGCACAAAGACGTATTTCAACCAGATAGACAAAGAGTTTATAGGTGGAGCTGAAAGATAAAGACAGTGGAAATAGTGAAAACCATGCTTGGGCCACATTCCAACCTCTGCACATTTAATACAATGCTGCTCTTGTCATAAAGGGCTTTAAATCATACATTTAAGCATGGACAAAATCTAGGTATCATTTTGTTCTTTCCGACATTCAAGATGATACTGTAATACTGTCAGTTAAATTTCAATCAGTCTTTTTTTTTTTTTATCAAATACTTTTAAAATGGCCATTTCTTCCCTGGGCCCAAATGTTCAAACTAAACCAGAAATTCTAAAGTGCAGGTAGAATTGTTCTGCTTATCCCAAATTTAATAGTTATTTCTATTGTTAATCACGTAACCAAAACACATTGATTAAAAAGCGGGTTGTTGATTCTATTGAGGAGGACATTCCTAATGCAGTGCATTTATTGCACCGGCTTGCATGTATGAATATATTACAAATATAAATATAATATGGAAAAGCTACTAAATTAAAAAGCGGAGCTTTTGCATTGCCTTCAGTCTGCTTTCCACAGATCTCTCCCCTGGTTAATCAAGGCAAAATTCGGGAATGTTAGAGATATGCCATGAATTTTTCAATGACGGCTTACTATGGCCACAGCATTTCTCTGTTGCACATTCCCAGTGCAGTGCCTTTAACATTAAACATCTCTTCAGCCGCTTTTGGGAAAATTCATCCTACACGAATCTTTATGAAATGAGGCTCATACATTTTATTTGAGATCAGGCCAAAACTAAGACATGCTCCATTTTGGCCAGTCAACCTGTCCAATTCTCTGAGAGAATGGTGAAGACAGGCCCCACTCAGATAGACCATGATGTGGTAGCTACCGAAGGTAAAGCCTGTGGTGAGGACGCATCGCCTCACTTTTCTTGGCTGTAGTCTGAAGAACGCTTGGTCCTTCAAAGCAGAAGTCCCCAACCTTGGCAACTTTAAGACTTGTGGACTTCAGCTCCCAGAATTCCTCAGCCAGCCAAGCTGAGGAATTCTGAGAGTTGAAGTCCACAAGTCTTAAAGTTGCCAAGGTTGGGGACTTCTGCTTCAAAGGACAATCAAGAAGCAATCTGAATGCAACTTCATTCCTGCTATGTTGCTCCCTCCCACACCATCACTTTCTCCAGCATGGGAAAAAAAATGTACCGGGACACGGTAGCAATTCAATTATCCTGTGGCTCTTTGTCTCACCTGCAAAACTGCCTGGAGTGGTTCATGTTGGGCCCTGCTTTAATATTGCCTTTCTCTGGATCGTAGATGGTGGTTGCTCGTGCGTAAGCTCCTCCAAGGATAAAGATGAAACCATTGAGAGTGACTGCAGGAGCGTATTTGTTATCTGTCAATGGAAAAAGCAACATTGAGCTTGGTTACCAGGGTTGGAACTAGAATCAAGCTTCTCATTTATGCATCCCCCCTTATTTAAAGATCGGTCACGTTTCTTGAAATCTCCAAAGGCCAGCAGAAGAAAAATGAGGAAATATTTTAGCGGCTGTTCTTATTGCGGATTGTGTTCTTCATCCCTAAACTTCTGAAAGGCACTTTTAAAAGTTTGCGAGTCTTCCCCACTCTTAGCACAGTGCCTGTAATCCAACAGCACTGTCACTTCCCATATCAGTATGTATTCTTGCGTCTGCCAAAAAAAAAGTATGGCCCTCGTAAAACTGAAACGATCCGCCAAATTATTTCAGACATGGAACCGCAGCCCATTTTTGAGAGAAGAAGATTAGTTTCTAAAGCAGCATAATCAGATGGTGTTAGATATTCCACACTTAGTTTTGAGGTGAATCGATATTCTAGCCTAGCCTCTTTTGATCCGTCTCTTTTCTTTTTATCCTTATATACACAGCAGGGAACCACATACTGCAGAACAACTTTTTCTCCACCTGTCTGACCCTGGATTATAAAGGGTTACAATTCTGATAATCTGTCCTTATGGGAATTAAGGAAATATGGAAAATACTGCAATGGGGCACATGACAAAAGTTGAAGACATATTAAGCATTCCCCAATCCTTTGTCCTCGGATAGTATCAAAGTACAAATTCTGCTGTTTGTAGCTGACATGAAGTACTAGCTGCCAATTTTTAAGACCTGGTCCTCCATGATCACTGGAGCCTTAACACAAGATGTCTGCAAGCCAACAGATACAATCTACTTGTTGTCACACTTAACCCAGCATATTATGTTACACAATGTACACTTTTTTGGGGGGGGATCTCACTACAGGTTAGCAAAATAGACACAGCTCTGTTTATTATGCACATTAGCATCCGTTCTTTTCCATGTTGTTCAATGATGAAAATCATTGAACCAGTTTAAGAAAATATTTCCCCCGACTGCTGTTCACCTTAATTTTTTTTTGTTTGTGCAAAGTGTGAATAATGGAACTGACTAGGGATCAACTAGAACTTAGTTGACCTCTTACAGTCAGGTTACATGTTCAAATTTTGTATAAACTTTGCACACCTGTGCTTTAATAATAGCCATATGCTTTGGGAAAGACAGATGTGAGCACCTCACCTTTTCACATTCAGTTCCCACATCACAGTACATTTATATGTGGGCATGAAAGGATTTGTCCTCCCTCCATCCACAAAAATCTCTGCCTAAAATGCATTTTTAAAATATCTCACTTTCTCCTGCTCCCTTATGTATCATTAACTTTAGGTCTCCAACTCCCCCAAAGCAGAAAGAGTTACCTAAAAAGGAAAGTGAAGTTAAACAGATAACACCCAAACTAGATAATCTACCCTGCAACTTTAATACCATTTAATCTGTATTCTTTAATACAGTCTTTTGAAATCTGTACTCTTTGAGGATGTTGATCTTCTTCTGTCACTCCTAGCCAGCACTGGAGTCTAACACATCTGTAGAGGTACTAGATGGATAAATCCTACTTTTAACTACCCTTTTAAGAGAAAGCTAATTGTACAAACCAGGGGTAGGCAACCTTGGCTCTTTTATGACTCGTGGACTTCAACTCCCAGAATTCCTGAGCCAGCCATGCTGAGGGGAAAGGGAGAGGTTTCCAAGCTGAGCTATGCTGGCTCAGGAATTCTGGGAGTTGAAGTTCACGAGTCATAAAAGAGCCAAGGTTGACTACCCCTGGTCCAAACAGATAAAAAGCAAGTCATTTGTCAGCCTTTTCTTGAGGAAAACATTTCTTCTGGTAGATACCACCAAGTATTGTGACTTCTGGTCCTTGGAAAATTAAAGTGCGGTTATTGCTACTGATGCGAAATATTATTTGGATGTGTCCTTTCCCTATATGCTGATCACATTTCCATAGCTCCTTTCATGGGACCATTACTTTGCAAAATATGTATTAATCTAATAAAGAAACATTAACCTCAAAAGCCCAGAGGGATATACTTTTGGGTTGTATCAAGGCAGAAATACATAAGCTCCCCAGGAGGTCAATGCCCTGCTATTGATATCACCTTGTGGTATAAAGAAATGTCCCACTTTGAGGTTTTAATAGCAGAGTTTTGCTTTTGTTTCTTCTGAAGAGTCAGCAGTTTCTCAGATCTCCTGCAGAAGAATCAGCATTATATTGTGTGCTTTCTTCTTCATTTTTCCCCTACAGTGTAAGTTTATTGTGTTTTTAATGACCCATCAAAAATAGTTACACTTGTTTATTTTTCTGAACCAAGTTCTCTTTTGAAATTTTAGGGAGAGGAATATTGGGTAAGTGGTCACTGATCTGGGTTTTTAGACTGTCCTATTGAGCTATGGGTGCTTGTCAACACTTCAGTGATTATTTTATTTTAAAAAAGGGAAGGGATGAACATTTTAAATCAGTAAATCACTCACCTGGCGCTCCCAATGGATAGCTTTCAGGGACCATTATATTAATTATCCTCTCCAGCTATCCTAAGCAAACACCCCTCTGTTTTGGGTGGCAACAATTCTGTCCATTTTTTTTGTCTGTAGCAATAGATAATATTGCAGCATAACTAAGTATGTTTTATTTTATCCATAAAGGGCTGGAATTTTACAATAAAATCCGAATCAGAACATAGAGCACATCTCCAATCATCAATAATTTGTCAACCAGGAGGTTGATGGATCAAGGGGCTGTGTTTAAGATTAAATCATTAATAATAAAAACTAATATTTTAAAAATATTGAAAAAAATAGTATGTGAAAAAGGGTAGTGGCTATAAACTGAATTAGAAGATACATCTCTACATAAAGGCTGAATGACATTGGATAATCAATACAGTCTTTCACAAGATAATACCTTTCAATCATCAGGTTGATTATTTGTGAATCTGAACATATGGGGTCTGTCTTGCACACCAGCTTTGAAGTCCACTCTATAAAATACATTGACTACACTGAATACGGAATAAAGCGAGCAGAGTTTTCAACATGTCCCTCAATTGCACCTACCTCCATATTCCAAGCTACCTCTAATTATCTTTGCAGGACAACTGGGGGGGGGCAGGTTGTATAAATTCACAGATGCCATTTGGAGAACTATAATTAACCATAGGTTAATAATTAGTTCTTCTTCTCTGGGTTATTTTTGGTTCACGCATGTGGATCCTGATAGAAGGTAGTTCTGTTAAAAGCCGAGTCCATCTTGGATCAAAGATCTAGATTAGACTGATCCCTAAAGGTCAGCCTTTGGGACCAAACAGTAGTTCAAACATAAGCAGAAAGGAAATTCTCATTAAAAAGTTGCTGCAGAAGTTGCTGCTGGGCAAAATACCAGTCTGACACCTGAGAATATTTGTTAGAAAAACACTGAAGAATTCGGATATACTGTATCTATATCTATATCTATCCACACATGCATACACACACTAAACCAGGGGTAGGCAACCTTGGCTTTTTTATGACTCGTGGACTTCAACTCTCAGAATTCCTGAGCCAGCATGGCTCAACTTGGAAATCTCTCCCTTTCCCCTCAGCATGGCTAGCTCAGGAATTCTGGGAGTTGAAGTCCACGAGTCATAAAAGAGCCAAGGTTGCCTACCCCTGCACTACACACACACACACACACACACACACTTCTCCATATTATTTCAAGGAACATGAAGAAGCATTGGCAAAACCAACTCTTGACAGAGGCACAGTTTGAAAATGTCCTTTGGTAAAAAGAAACTATCCAAACGTGCAATTATCCTAATGAAAGAGAAGGTAAGGATGGTAGGGAGCAAAGATAATTGATCAATTACACTTGCCTAAGAAACTGACAGAAAAACTGCTTTGGTAAAAACTACTCAAGGAACCCAAAGGACTATGACATCATGGAAAGAACAACAGACTCCCTGAAGTGGAAAGAGGACGAAGCAGTAAAAATTTAGGAGTCTTTGAAATGGAAATGCGGGTCCATATTCCAAACAGAGAGTTTGTGTACCATTTTGTCCTGATGATTGCCAATGCCATGATACATACTGAATAGATTTAGTTGCTTTAGGAGCTGGGTGCCTTCCTCCTTACCCCATCAAAGAGGGGAACCAAAGTTAGTCTTGTGTGGCTTTCACGCTTTCAAGGTGCAACGAGAATGGAATTCAGACTATCTTGTGGAATCTCTCTCTCTCTCTCTCTTTTTTTGAATCCTGAATTTTGGAAAAGAAACGAGAAGAACCTGCTTCTGCCTCCAAAACATAACCAGCTTCTAATGTATTTGAAGAAAGGAGGCAGGAATTTTGTATTATTCAAAGTGCACATCTACTCAAAAAGAGGAAGAATCTCCTCTGTGTATTTTGTAGTAATGAATCTCAGGTTGGGAGCTTATCCCTGAGTCGGAAAGGCTAAACAGGTTACAGAAATAGTAATTATTGCTCATGAGTAATTCTAGTGAGATCAAACCTTTATAATGAAAAAAGTGCAAGATCTATTAGAAGAACAAATAGCTAAATTTAGAGTTTAAATCAGAACACATTCTTGCTTATGAAGTACGGACAATCTCTCAAAGCTGAACTAGAGCGGTGTTATTATATCAAAGACTGATAATCCCATATTAAAATATTAGTTTGGGACAAGCTATCTTATTAGTGTTGCCCATCCCCCACCCAAAATGCTACAGAACAGAGGCCCTGAAGAGTAAAGATTTAGGGTATTCATAGGTTGAGGTATAACATAAAAAAAGTATTAAGTGAAATTCAAAATAAAATATAAACATCTTAGGAAAAAGTGCAAGAACTTTAATTTGTATTCCAACTGCAGATTAGGAGACTATCCAGGCAAAGTTGAAACACGTTTTGATGTAATTTTCCTGTGTCTGCATGCCAAGATAGTTAACTCTTTGTATTATTTTTTTTATTTTATTCGCGTTAAAATACAAACTCCAGAAAAGAAAAAAAAATACAAAAACAAAGCGAAA